GGATTGTAAATTTGTGCCAACTCCTGGAGATAATCTAGACGGGAAACTAAAGCCATGAGTACTGATCACTGCAGGGCTACAGTAACAGCATCTTACAAGTCTGAAAGCGCTTTTCCCCCATCCCTTCCCCGGCCTTTGGTTTTCAGAGAACTAGGGAAGGTCCCTTTTGAAGTGCTTTCTCCACCCCCATCCTTCCTTTGGACTAGGATTTCTCTTTATCAGATCAGGCTGTAGCTCTTCCTCTTCTCTCCCAAGGTATTCTCACAGCCCATTACTGTTTTTCTCTTTACTGACTTTTTCCAAAATGCTCAGATGTCCTCTGAACATTAAATAAAATATTATTTTTAAATTACCATATATCATGTTTAATAAGATTCTTTATCCAAATCTACATCTTAATTACTTTAATATACTAAAAAGTATATTAAAAAGGAGGTAGGAAACCACAAATGGGAAGAAAATATAGTAAATCATTGCACCTAAGTTTTAATATACAATTAAACCTTGATTATAGGGAATAATTTTGTTCAGTCTCTCCAGTATACTGACAGAGAGCCAGTTCAAAACAGGAAGCAAACATATAAAATGAAAGAGTAATATTTTGGCTGTTTGTTTTTTTCACCACTTAACAACATATAGCTTTTCAATTTGCCCAATTATATATTTAGTGATTTAGGTAACATATAAAGTATACTAAACGACATTAGTAGAAATACATAAGGCAGTGGGGCTAATAAAGCTGCTCTGAAATAAAAGAAGGTGATGTAAAATTCAAACAATGTATATGTGGATAAATATAGATTGCTGTAATTTTTATTCATAATGTAAGCAAATAGAAATCAAGATAGACCATAAACTTAAATTAAAACTCATTCAGAAAAAAACAATAAATCATAAACTTAATTAACTATGGAAATAATTCTTACTCCATAAAATGAAGAATACTTGATAGAAAGAAAGGGAATATTATTAAGACACAATGCTATCAACAATTCCTAAGCCCCAGTATGTAAGAGCTTGCCTCAAAGAGTGACCTTGAATCACAAAAATGCTTGAGTTTTACTAATTTAAAACAGTAATTCCAACCACTACATACGGTACATGACCTTATATGAAACGCAAATACTGTGTATAAACAAACTTCCCCTAATGAAATCTTCAAAGAACTATCTCTCTAAGTGAAGTGGAAGGCTTGCTTAGTCCATTGTTTTATTTCAACTGTAACTAGTTAAATATTCTTGGGGCATAATGTTGATAAGTATCACTGTTGTTATATCATATAGTAAGCAAAATAACTACCTAAGAATACAGAATTCTCATTTTTATCTACATCCGCTAATGATAATTGAGTTAGATTCAGGCAAACAGTTATTTTTTATTCAGTTGAATATAAATGAGACCAAAGCATTATCTGCATACAATCCACGGTTAATAATTTTTAACAGATGCGCCTCCACTTTGGCTTCTCTGAGATAAGCCTTATGATGTTGGAAAAACAAGGGTTGACAAAAATCTACCCAATGATTTTTCATGGCACTATAAGGATCATAGCACTACCCATCAAAGATGGTACGTCAGGCCAAGGGAATGAATACTTTTCTGTTCTGAACCTATAATCAATCATTTTGACTGCCTGAGCCAAAGATAATTTTGAATAAATATACAAAGCCACTGCTTATTTAACTATGCTTAATACTTCATATGAAAGTGATTTTGTATCTGCATTATTCTTTTCCTTCTTTTTTTCAGCTCTAAAATGTATTTTTTGAGATTGGCATGCTAAAATGAATTAAAAAAGAGCAACACAGAATTCTTAAAAATCCCCCAAAGTTTTTTTTCCCATTTTCACTACTTCAGCATTGATTCTACATTGTGAACTACATTATTATACCTGTGTGCATAAGCCCATAGTTTAGAAATTGATTTAGCAATAAAAGAAATCTAACAATATCAGAGTTCTGCAAATGGTTCAAATGTGAACCATTTTGAACCACGTTATTTTGAGCATAAAACAGCTGCAATTTTTTTTAAAATTTGTGCTAAGAACTGGGATGTTTTAAACTTGAAACAATTAGTGTTTGAAGTCACCCATTTTTTATCTGAGGTAGTTTTATAAGCATTTGACAAATTAAGAAACTAAACAGAGGAAAATATGATATACAAAGCATAAGTTGCTGAACTGAACTGTTTTTTTCACAACAAGAACTATTTAGGGTTAATATTTCAGTGTTTGCAAATAAACTTTGCATGCAGATGTTCCTCAATGTTAAATTAAGTTTTATGTTACTTGTAAGACTATCCCACTTTCTACTGATATTCCCAAGGAAATCTCAAAGTTTCTTATTCTCTGATTTGTTGACCTCCATTCACTAATTTATAATTCTTTACTTCATGGGTCCCCAACAACTGATCTGCAGACTGTTACTTGTCCATGGCCCGTTGGGAATGGGCTGCAAGAGTGGCAGGCGAGCACACAAAGCTCCATTTGTGCAAATGGTGGGTGCACATGTGAAATCATTCTCCACCCCCAACGCTGCCAATCTGCGGAGCCGGAAAGGATGGGGATCACTGCACTACTTGATTTCATGACTTCACTTTTGATTTCATGATTTCACTTTTGTATAACATAGTGATATGGACAATAACTTCTGATTAAATGTTTATAGCTATGGAAATTTTGTTGTTATTATTTCTGATTTTTATTTTGAAGTTTTTTAAAAAAATTGGACAGAATGGCAGCATCGTTAGCTTTACTAGGTGCTTGCTTATTTTGCTTGTAAAACAGTTCCATTTCAACAAATACATTACAAATTCATACCATTTGTCCCTAGGATTTTTGTTTTAATTTGTCAGTGTTTTGCTTCAGTCACCATTCTCTAAAATTTACTTTAAAGGAACCACACACAAAAAAGAAAGAAAATGTAGTAGCAGTATTGGTAATGGTAACTCATTACCAATTTTTTTGTCATCCCTTTTATAACCAAGACCATAGAAACCTACTACAATTGGAATTTACCATTTCTAGAAGTTAGCCTTCTCTCATGATCCCAGACAGCGAAAAACAGTTATGCTGTCACTTATATACACACATATCTTGACATAACCTTTTTCTTTAGTTCCTTTTCCATTTAAATAGTTGACAAGTAAAGAATGTAATCCTCGAAGAAAGTACAAATAGTCCTCAACTTATGACTGATTGCTTAGTGACCATTAGAAGTTATAACTGATCCAAAAAAGGGGATTTATGATCCGGATTTGAAGTCCTGCAGTCCGTTTCCCTCTGTGGCTCATGACCAGACTTTGTGTGCTTGGCAAAACAGATGCATTTATGGCAGACTCTATTTGCAAAGTTGCTTGATCACATGGCCATGTTTTACAATAGCTTTGCCAGAAACTGCCAGCTCATTTCCATTTTTCGCAAAAATGTGACCATAGCAAACCATTGGTTTGCATACAAAAGTCATAAAATTGGATTGATCACATGACCAATCCATTTTATAACTGTTATGACATATGATGGCTCCTTTATGGTCATATGTCAATAGATTTTCGACATGTCAATTTTGGACATGAGATGCGACACCTGGAAAAATACGGCATACTTCACTTAATCCTCTAAGGAAAGATTGAAGGCAAATGAGGTCCAGGCAGAAGAACATCATGGCTTCAAAATCTAAGGACTAGTTTAGACAAAACCCAACAGCACTTTTTTATGTGGCTGTTGATAAAAATAGGATCGCCAACATCCAATGAGAGATATGGCACAAGAAGTATCAAGGACTACATGTAAATGGACTTTATTAGACTGTTACATAGGAAATAAAATGGCAACCCTCCCTCTGCTGTCCAGGGTGCTAGGGTCAGTATCTTTGTTGAGTAATCGGAAAACTCATCCTGTCTTCTTTATCTTAGCTTTTTTTTTCTTTTAAAGATATATAGCTGTATAAATTAAATAGTAAAGTGTCTTTAAAAATCCATGTACAGAGGTGCCCACAGATTAACTGTAATAGTAACTCTTTTTACACATTAACTGTTTATGTAGTAATTCTTTTTTCAAAAGGAAACATGAATAGAGAATATAGACTAGAGTAGAATGTAGAATATAGACTAGAGTAGAGTAGAGAATAGAATATAGAGTAGAGGAGAATAGAATAGAGAGTAGAGTACAGTAGAATAGAGAATATAGAATAGAATAAAATGTAGAGTAGAATAGAGACTACAGAGTAGAGAATAGAATAGAATGTAGAGTAGAATAGAGAATAGAGAGTAGAGTAGAGTAGAGTAGAGTAGAGTAGAGTAGAGTAGAGTAGAGTAGAGTAGAGTAGCGCACACACAGAGAGAGAATAGAATAGGAATAGGATAGAATGTGGAAGGGTCCTTGTAGGTCTTCTAGTCCAACCCCTGCTCAGGCAGGAAAGCCTATACCATTTCAGGTAAATGATTGCCCAATCCTTTCTTTGCTCATTGTCTCCTTATTCCATATACTCCACCATCAAACCCAGATCCGACTTCTCTAAAAAATCCCAAAGCGAACGCCTGTGTCTCTCTCTGCACTAACGCTCTTATTCGAGGAAGGCCCGGAGACCTCTAAAGCTTCCTTCAAGACTTCCCCTAAAACCGTCGGGCTGAGCCGTTCAGACAACGCCTTTCAAGCAAACCTTCCCCCACCCCCCGCCTCTTGCTCCGCCAAAAGGAGGCATCGCGGATCCCGAGGATACGCCTGGATCGGGACGGACTCCCTTCCTCCGTGCCTGCCTGGGGGCAACGGAAGACCGTCAGCCACGAAACGCCCACCCGCCTGCTGGGGCCGCCGAGGAGCAGCCAGGGACGCGCAACGAACAAAAGCCGCTACAAGCAAAGAGGCCGCGCGGTGCGGAGACTCCAGTGGGGCCCCTGACAGCCGCCGCCGCCGCCGCTTTTCCCCTCGCTCTCTGCCCGGGAGAGGCTGAACGGGGCAGGCCCGGGCCCCACCCTCCGCCCCAGCCCTTCTTCCTCCTTACCGAGCAGCAGCAACTTCACCTCCTTGGCCGCCTTTTCCCCGTCCTCGCGAAGGTTGCGGTCGATCATCCGACTTCGCTCGGCCGCCGCTTTATCCTCGGCGCTCAACGTGCAGCCCATCGCGGCGACAGGACGGGCGAGGCGGGCGACTGGCACCCCTGGCGCTCCTCAACGGCCGCAGAAGTCGGGAGGGGAGGAAACTGGATAGGCGGAGGGGGGAGGGGGGAGGAAAGAGAAGCGCCACCGGAAACCTGCCTACTTCCTCCTTTCAAATCACAGCCCGACCAAGAAGCGAATTGTCCTCTGGGAAGTGTAGTCAAAGCGCGGGTCTCTTGCCTCACCGCCAAGCACGGGAAAAGGAGTGACTTCTGGACGCCCGCCGCGTCAGGCGCAGGGCATGATGGGAGCTGTAGCCCATAAACAGTAAACGATACCTGAGATTGAAGCGGGTGCGTCTCGATTGGAACAAAACATTACATTTTGTCGTCCCCCCCAAAAAAAACCCAGGAGTTTAGCAATACCTTTTCCGACTAATCAGTGTCCCAAAATTTAACCTTAGACTGTCTACTGTTGACCTCACCCCATTCCTAAGACGTCTTTAAGGGGCGTGCATAAGGCCATAAGCGCACCAGAGTGCTTACCATCCCTGTCCTAATATTCCCTTGTATTTGTATTCATTTCATGTATACATAATCATGTTTATACTTATATCTGTTATCTAATTCATGCTTGACAAAATAATTAATAAATAAAAATAAATAAATAAATGAAAAGTGCTTTTTCAAGAAGCAACTGGACTTCCTGGATTTTCTCTGAAGACATTTGGCTTCTCATCCAAGAGGTTTCTTCAACTGGAGAACCTTCTTGGATGAAAAGATGACATGTCTTCAAAGAAAAACCAGAAAGTCCAGCTGCCTCTTGAAAAAGCACCTTTGGGACAACCATGACCTGGATGACTGATAATCTTCATAGACATCTGACTAATCAATGTTATTAAAAGACATCAGTTTTCATGAATTGCAGTGCAGTTCACAACAGGTGCATACAATGGCTAAGCTCACCAAAGTTTATGCTCTTTTAAAATGGTTAGTTGAAAAAGATGCTATTAGGCTCCTGATTTTTTATGACACCATAGACGAATATGCCTTTTCTCCTACAAATCTTTTGTACCCCGATCCAAACTCAGAGAAGAAAACCAAGGATTTTGTTAAACCTTTGTTATTGCTAAGAATCTGTAATTAATACCATGTTTCCCCAAAAATAAGACAGGGTTTTATTTCCTCTTGATCCCAAAATAAACACTTGGCCTTATTTTCAGGGAGGTCTTATTATTTTTGAGGTGCAGGAGGTGGCGAGCTGCTGTGTTGCAATATTTTCTGGGAGGGCTTATTATCCGGGGAGGGCTTATTATCCGGGGAGGGCTTGTTTTAGGCCGAAACAGGGTATACAAATGCAGTCCTAAACTCATGCACAATGAATATTATAAATTGCATCATTTTGAAATTTTAAAGGTATTTTACAAAAACACATCTGGATTGCAAAAATCTGAATGTCCACTAGAAGTTGTCAAAGAGTTTAGAGAATTGGATATATTTTATGGTAATCTAGTGATCATCTGGGTATTTTCAGCCTATACATGGCAGCTATAAGCCCCAATCCTATTAAATATTTGATAGATTTCAATCCAATATGGGAAAAAATACAAAACCCAACACAACATACTAAGAAATAATGGAATATATTTGGTTTTGGCTTAGACTTTATGGTGTTTGTCAAAAATCAGCTGTTAACATTTACGAAGCCAAAGAACCTATCCTTCAGGTGTTTTCCTCAGAGAGTTGGCAGATTCCCCTCAAAGGTTGATGATACTTTATAGACTTGTAGGTAAGCATTTCTGTTCCACAACATATTTTGAAGATCATATTATTATTATTATATATGCAACAGTGTGAAATCACACCTACCAGTTCTTTAGCTGGGGTTGGCCTTCATACCCACCAGCCTTCTTCCAAGAACCTAGAACAGGACTGTCAAGCTCCAGGCCCACTGGACCAATGCATGCTGGTCACACCCCTGCCCAGTTTAGCGAAGGGGAAAAAAGTCCCGATACATCATGTGACACCGCCATGATGACATGAGTTTGACACCCCTGATTTAGAATGTTGTAATGTATCAGCATAGTATCTGTGTGGATTCAAGTAGTATGGCCTTTTGTAACTGACAGATAGAAATTTTGTCAATGCACAGATTTTTCTAAGCATTGTTCATGACATTTTGATATGGTCCCAAGTGGTAACCATAGGGGCCACAATGGCCAGCTTACATCCTAAGCCAGTGATGCAAAACCACACTCATCTGGGTGTTCGATGACATGCACACTCGTCTGGGCTGCAACCCAGAATGCATGCGCATGGCCAAAAACCAACTTCTGGTTTCCGGCGCAGGCATGCGTGCTGGCCAGCTAGTCTTCTGGGTTTCCGGTAAGCATGCATGTGGCTGGCCGTCACACATGCTCACACAGGAAAAGGGAAACTCTTCCAGTTTCCAGCACTGTAGTATGCATGAAGGCGCACCAGAAACCCGGAAGAGGAATGGGTACCGTTGCACATGCCAGGTGATATGGCCCCGTGTGCCACTTTGGGCACACGTGTCATAGGTTCCCCATCATGGTCCTAACCTTTGATTTTCAGATCTTGATACTTTACAATCTTCTCCAATTCTTTATTTTCTGTCCTAATGTAGCCTGGAATTGTCAATCAATTATCTGCACTTTCTTCTTTTCAATTATATGTTGAAATTATTTGCAAAATAATAACTTTATTAAAATGTACATGACGTCCAACAGCCAGTGATTCTGAAGTCTGAAGTTTAACTTCTGCTCATCTATAATAGTTTGTGCTTTCTGCCTCCTGGCCTAATCACAAAACATTTTTCAGAAAAAGAAACTATATACACAGTTTCCCTATTATTTTAGCTGGATAGCTTCCCAATCTAAAAAGTACCGTGCTAATTTTTGCAAAAAAAAGTCAACAACATGAAGAGTGCTGATCTTTTAAATTTTGGGATTAGAGATACTAATCTCTAATACTGTTTATTATTTTCTAACACCTTTGACGTTTTGCAACCTAAAACACAGGCACTATTCATGGAAATTATTCCTTTTCTTTTTCAAAAGGATATTTATTGCATAGATTTCAAGAGCAATTCACAAAGGAAATAAAGTTTGTTGCTGCCTTTTCACAATCTGGTTTCCAAATAAGGAAGTTATCTATACCAATGTTGCCCTCTAGCGTCGTCTATGATGTATTTCTGAAGTATCAAACATAAGTGGACGTGATTGACAAGAAATAAGATGCAAAATATCTTCTACTTCCTTTAATGAAATATTTATTTCTATAATATTGGAATCATGGAAAAGACCTCTGCAGAAATTATTTATTATCATATGTTTTATTTGTTAAAAATGAATGCAAATATGTTGAGGATAACTTTGCTTAAAGGCAAAAAAAAATTTTTTTCAAGCATTTTAAGCACTCAAGAGAGGTATAACAAGGACTGTGTTTCCATCTCTGTGTATTAGATATGCAATGGGTGGGAGGGAAATTGTGAAATGTCTATAAGGACACAAACTACCTTTATTAAACTGTATTTTATAAAAGTGTACAGGTAGTCCTTGATTTACAACTATTCATTAGTGACCATCCAAAGTTACAACAGCACTGAAAAAAAGGGACTTATGACTGAATCTACAACTGTTGCAGCATCCCCACAGTCATGTAATCAGAATTTGGACACTTGGCAACCTGGATGTATTCACAATGGTTGCAGCATTCCAAGGTCATGTGATCAGCATATGTGTGACCTTCACAACCAGCATCCGTCAAGGAAAGTCAATGGGGGAAATCAGATTCACTTAACAACTACACAATTCACTTAATGACTGCAGCAATTCACCTAGCAACTGTGGCATAAAAGCAGGGGTGGGCTGCTATGGGTTCGCCTGGGTTCGGGAGAACCTGTAGCTAACGTTATCGCTGGTTCGGAGAACCTCCAAATCCCACCCCTGGCTGGCCTCGCCCACCCCATCCCACCCCTCCCACTCTACCCCACTCCTCCCAGGAGTCTCCACACAGCCTGTTTTGGATGTGAGGTAAGTGCAGGGCCCGCACAAAGGCTCAGGGAGGGGAGAAAATGGGCCTCCCGGGGGAGGCAGATTTAGCCCTCCCAGAGATTCGAGGAAAGCCTCTGGAGCATGGGGAAGGTGAAAACAGTCCCTCCCACTGTGGTGCAGGAGGTTGACTAGGCCATGCCCACCATGGCCACGCCCACTGGGCAAAGAACCTGTTGCTGAAATTTTTGAAGCCCACCCTGCATAAGGTCCTAAAATCAGGTGCAACTCAACAATTGCCTTCCTCAGCAATGAAAATTCTGGTCTCAATTCTGGTCATAAGTCAATGATTACCTTCTCTCTATATCATGTCTGTTTAAGAAAAAACATGATTTTTCTCGATCATGTTCACAGCTCCTTCTTCAGTACTGTACAAAGAGGTTGTGTATTTATTTGCTGCTGTAGTTTTTAGGAAGAAGGGCTTCCCTGAAATGGAAACTAATTTGAGAAAGAGACTTCCCTGCCACAAACATCACTAATTGTAGAAAATTCTTAGAGGCTGCTGCTGGACCTAAACAACCTCCTGTAACTTGTGAATCAGCCTTTTGAACAGATGGATTTAAGAGGTACAGTAGATATTCATAAGGTTTATTCCTATTTGAGATTTGAACCTGGACAAAAGTAAAGCAGATGTTTGGGAAGATCAAGAGTCCTGAAGCCATCTCTGGTTCAAACATGGACAAAGTCTTTTGATTGGAACTCCCTACTAACAGTCAGTAAAGAATTTGAACAGAACTACAGATGGGCATGGGATTTCCCATCCTGTTGATCTCTAAAAACTTGCATTTTGCAATATTAATCCTGCTTGGTTTTTACAAATCCTCTTACATTTTGAGAGAATGGTTTCTCCACGTGAAGGGCTTTCAAAAGCAGATGAATAAAATGGCAATGCCATTCAACTGAATAAAGAAAAAGGATATTTGTCAGCAGATTGTGTTTTGAAGAGGTGGCGGAACTAGTCATCTTCACAATCCTTTCCTCTCAGACCCCATCAGTTTCCAATGATCCTTAAGTAAAGGAGAAAATATTATTGTGTTACCAATTATAGAGAGAAGAATCAACAGTCAGTTTGGCATTTTGGTTGTCTTCAGTATGTAAAATGGTGATATCTCATTTTGAGATGGATGGATGGATGGATGGATGGATGGACGAGACTAGACAGAACGTTCAGTGTTACCACTATCACAGGACAAGAAAGAGGTTTTATGTCAGTGTTTGCCACTTACCGAGTTTGGAAAGGATTTAACAGAACATCTGAATTCTTCTGTGAGATTCTTTATATCCAAGTGTGTAATGAATGTCAGTGTGGCTACATATCTGGGGCCATATCCAGATAGACATTAACAGCAGCAGAATTCTTTGCACTCATCTCGCAGTCCCAATCCGATAATCCCAGAGGAGAGCAATCTGCAAATTTTAATATGGATTTTAATATCCCTGTCTCCTGTCTGAATACCTCAGATCTGCCCTTTGTCAAAACCACTCCTGAACATCTGGATTTCATACTCTTGTTCAGCAAGGCTGGTTATATAACTTCAAAAAGGCAAGAAACCAAAATTCTCCGCAAAAATTGTCAGGCTCCTATATGCAAACTGGAGCTCCTCTGAACCCCACTTCTCTTAATCCCTAAGGGCATTCATTAAAATGGATCCAGAAACCTGAAAAAGAGAAAATAAACACTAGCAGAGAGAAAAAATAATGTTCTCTGGAATAAAACTCTGCACTGTCACTCAAAAATAAAGCTGACATATCTTTCCTATTTGAAGTTAGGCAGTTTTGAAAGAGCATCTGTTCTGATCAATATTATTGGGACAATGATTTTCTTAACTGAAACCTTTCGTTCTTATTTGATCGGCAGAGAGCCCATCTCACACACAGGCCCCGAACATTATCAAATAAATAATCGTTTTATTTGTTGCTCTAGGCTTCAATTGTCCTACATTAAAATAGCCTCCTTTTCTTGCAAGATGAAGCCATGAAAATGTTATATATGATCCAGAAAGATTTTGGAGAGTAAATGTATTCTGAATATTGGGCCATTTAGCACAATTTTGCATAATTTAGCAATGTTTGAATTGTGATATTTCATTTACAATCCCTTCTCATTGGCCTTGTATGAAGGAGAAAATGTTACAGTGGAAAACAAAGAGATGTGTATTATTGGGAAACACCTCGCCCATCCTGGAAAGAATTGAGAAACAGAGAGATTAGTGTGGATCTGTCTATTGTGTCAATTTCCAGTGACTTTTGAACCAAAAGTTGAACTTTTGGTTCAACTTTCTTTGGCTTCCTCAGACCCCTAAAGCCCCTCGGGGAGTGATCTGTTAAGATACAGCCTGTTGTGCCTTAAAATGGCTTCTACTGTACAGTGCAGTGGAGTTGCCATGGTAACAGCTTCACAGTACTCCACAAGGGGGCTCCCTCTGGTAAGGGGGAAAATCCCACATTAGAAATTATGTTTGGTCCTGACATTTTCCCCCTATAAATAAATATCCGGGCAATGTCGGGGTTATCAATTAGTAGTATATAAAAGGGAAAACGAACACAGAGACAAGGGAAAAAACAACTCTTGAGACACATACACATTACTGGAGAGCATCTTTAGGTCAGAAAAATTACTCCTGGTGGGTGAGATCTCAGGGTTGAATCATTATATGGGAGTTAAGGAATACTCTTGTGCATTGCAAATTCCTGGTGTCCATTTTCTATACTCCCTGAACTGACCAGTTTTGCTTTCTTAAGAGTTGTTACTATATTTGGCATGCCATGTAGTTTTAATATCTCCATCTGACACCCTCTGAATCTAGAGAGAATTCTGAATAACCATGGCCATTGCTGGTGGGGAATGCTTGGAATCTATTTTCTTACATAGATGGAGGATACCAGGTTATGGAAGGCTTGTTTTTTGAAGTCTTTGGCTACTGTATCCAGAGGAACTGAACCAAAGGTAATTGCTATTGAAAATAAAATTTCTGCAGCTCAAAAATATAGCAAACATAATGTTTTGTTTCCTCAAAGTCCCTTCTATCAGGACTCATGCAAGATCAACAACAAACTTCAAGGGGGAGGGATGCAATTGAACTAGTTGTTTCAACCTACTACTTAAATCTGAAGAAGGAAGTAGGGAAAGATTATTATTTCTGAAGTGCCAGCAATTCTTTATAGTAAAATTACTCCAGGTCAAAAGGAGGCACGAGGATTCACCCAAATGTTTTTGAACTATAGCTTTCTATGGATGGGTATAGTTTCAGGGCACCCCATAGACAGCACAAATTAAAACAAAATGTCTGACAGCAGGAAGGATGTGTGGTAGGACTGAATACACAGAAGGAGTTATGAAGTTTTCATTCATCCTGGAATCCTAAACTTCTAGGCCAAAATTGTGATATGTTATCAAAAGGCCAAAGGGACACGATGGCTCAGTGGCTAAGACACTAAGCTTGTCAATCAGAAAGGTCGGCAGTTTGGTGGTTCAAAATCCTAGTGCCGCATAACAGAGTGAGCTTTGGTTACTTGTCCCAGCTTCTGCCAACCTAGCAGTTTGAAAGCATGTAAAAAATGCAAGTAGAAAAAACCTTTGGTGGGAAGGTAACAGCGTTCCGCGCACCTCCAGCTTCTAGTCATGCCAACCACATGACCACAGAGACATCTTCAGACAGCACTGTCTCTTCGGTTTTGAACAGAGCTGAGCACTGCCCCCTAGAGTCAGGAACAGCTAGCACATATGTGCAAGGGGAACCTTTACCTTTATTGGAAGGCCATACAGGAAAAAGAGAAATTGTGCTGGATAGGCAATAGAGAAGCATTGATGCTACAACATAGCCCATGAGAAGCAGTGATTACCTTAGGTGGGCATGAAATGAACTAGGGGAACATGTGTTCCTCCAGTTGTTGCTGAACAACATCAGGATTCTCACCCAGAGTAGCCAATAGTGATGCAGCTCAATGTGTTTTTGAGCCACATCTAGAAAACTGTATGTTCCCCACTTCTGATCTAAGTAATCACATATACAAAAACATGTTTTTCTTTGCATGTACAAGTACAGTGTGAAAGAGGCAATAAGCACAAAACCCCAGGCTTCAGCATAAAAATTGCTAGTAGATTGGGGTGAGGGTTACCTCTAAATGAGGGAAATCACTAGTACATATCATGTGTATTTTAATCTATTAAAGTCAGTGTTTGTCTTTTTCTGTCAGGTGATCCAGTGCAATTTATTAACTGTTATGATTGGATTCAAAGTTTAATGATACATTGCAAACAAGCAGACTACAGGTAGTCCTCGACTTACAACCATTCATTTAATGACAACTCTAAGATACAACAGCATTGAAAAAAACTGACTTAGGATCGTTTTTTAGACACTGGTTGCAGCATTCCCATGATCACGTGATTAAAAATAGGACACCTGGTAACTGGCATGTATTTAGGATGGTTGCAGTATCCTGAGGTCATGTGATCACCTTTTAAGATCTTCTGATGAGCAAAGTGAGTGGGGAAGCAAGATTCACTTAATGTTACTAACTTAACAACTGTAATGATTCACTGAACGACGATGGCAAGAAAGGTAATAAAAATGGGGCAACACTAACAACTCTCTTGCTAACCAATGGGAATTTTGGTCTCAGTAGTGGTTGCAAGTGGAGGACTACCTATATGTAACAGCTTAAAGCAATGAACCAGATCATAGGCTTCATTTTACTAATGCAATGTAAACTCATTGCAATTAAAATCATAGTTCTAATCTATTTCTGATATTGGCCAGGTTCCATCTGCATTAAACCAAATGGTTTATTTTATTTTGGCTTAGTGTAACAAAAGAATCCAGCCACTGAGATCATCCATGGCTTGTTTACTTTTAACTACAGGGAAAGATTCTTGTGTCTTCTTTAGATTTGTTGACATCTTTAATAGTAAGACAATGTGTAATCCTTCAGAACGTGGAGCTGCAAAATGTATTCCTACAACATAAAGGTCAGTTGTTCATCCAGTTGTTGCTGTTACCTATCCCTGGGCCTTTTTGTAGCTCACTCATGCCTAGGCCAAATAACAGTGGGCTCTCTCATTTATAATCCTACAAGTCCAAGACAGCCTTGATTAGAAGGTGGATGGAAGGAGTCCAAAGCAGAAGGTAACAATTACTAGAGGAGGGAGGGAAGAAATGAAGGAACAAACAAATGAATGAAAGAAAGAAAGAAAAAGAAAGAAAGAAAGAAAGAAAGAAAGAAAGAAAGAAAGAAAGAAAGAAAGAAAGAAAGAAGAAAAGAAAATATTCAGAATAGAGATGTTTCCAACTACAAAGGTTAAGAATGAGTTGATGGGGCGGGTGAGCAATTACCATCCTGTATAAGTCAAAACTAAATGAAATTAACTGGATACTAATAGCAGCTGATTGTCTGTGTGTGGGTTTACTTGAGCAGCACGTTGGAGAGAAAGGGTTCCAATTGCCATGGTGTATTTATTAAATACTCCCCCATATACAAACGTACACATTCTTCCTCAGCTGCTATATTCTGCATTTCACACATCAATAAATCAAGATTGTCAAGTGCAAAAAAAGAAGAAGAAGAAACCTAGCTACAGCTCAGGCTTCGGTGAGCATGCTGCTCTGATGTAGTTATCAGAGGCGGTGATATCACTGTTCATGTGATGCTCCAGGAATTCTGAGGTCTCTTCTGCAATTTGTCCTGGGATCCGGAAATCAATGGTAGCTTGGTCCCTTTTGGGGCTAGGCTGGGTAAGAGCATTTCTGGCCTCAGCGTGGCAATCTGTTCCTTGCAGGAACTGCAAGAAGTTCTCCTCAATGGAGCCTTCTCTGCTGGGTAACCTGAGATCCTCCTCTGGTGGTTGCTTGAAGAAACAGGTGAGGTGCTTGCTGAGCTCTCCTCTGATCTGTCGGTTGAGGCATCCATAGAAGAAAGGGTTGGATGTGAAGCAAAAATAACCAATCCAAGTGACCACATTCTCCGTCTGCTGGCCAGGAAAATGGGAGCTCAGCACCGAGTAGAGATGGAAGGAGAAATAGGGCAACCAGCAGAAGAGAAATTGTCCCCCCACTGCTAGGAGGATGATGACGGCCTTCCCACCCCCAGACGTCCTCTGAGGGGTAGTTCGAGGGGCTCCTGAACTAGTCACCATTGTGGACCTACTACTAAGAGATTCTGATCGTTGCCGTGGGGTATCCATCCAAGTGGGGAGTGGACCATGGTGCATGGCAGCTACTCGGGCCACTTTAAACATATTACAGTAGACCACCAAAATAATGGAAACCGGCAGGAGGAAGTAGAAAACAGCAAAGAAAATCACAAAAAACTTGCAGTAGGCACTTTGGCTCCACTGCAAGGAGCAGGTCTGTCCATTGTAGGCTAGGGATCTATTGATATGGTCTTGGGAAAGCCATCCCAGGATGGGGATGATGGACATAACTACTGCCTTGATCCAAACCCCAACCAGGACACAGACCACCAGGCTTACAGTCATTTTGACCTCATAGCGCATGGGGTGCACCACATAGTAGTAGCGCTCTACATTAATAGCTGAGATTGAAAGGATACACATGGTGATGAAGCAAATACTCAGGAAGAGATAGGCATGACATATGGCATCCTCAAAGGCTGTGCCATCAAAGAAAGTTGAGCTGGACAGCATGGCTAGAGGCATTAGAGTAATAGCAGCCAAAAGATCCACCAAGCAGAGGTGGAACACAAAGACAAACTTCCTCAGTGCTGGGGTTTTGACAATGACCGTCATAATGGCTACATTGCCCACAATAGCTGTCAAATCAATCAAAAGCATGAAGAAGAGACCCACAGACTTGGAGGCCACATCTCTGGGCTTGGTGTCTAGGCTAGAATTGAGAAGCATAGAACTTTGGGATGCCTGAAGCAGCCTCCTGATCCTGGCAGGATTCCGTACCCACGGGGTGGGAAGAACAGAAGGCTCCATGGAGATTAGCACCTCCCTTTACAAGTCCATCACCCATCCTATTCTGGGTCCCCAGAAAGTAGTCAGAGAGAATCAAGAGAGATGGTGGTGTGCAAGCAGCCACTAGCCATATCGTTTGCCAACATTCAAGTCCAGCAGATCTTTGGAGTATACTTATACTTTCCAGTACCACACAGTTCTGTGAGCCATTATAATCAGGGGATCTGCTTAATTCACCAAATCTGTTTCATCTTGATTGTATGTCCTAGGATATAGTAGCATGGCAGTGTAGAAAGTCCGTAGGACCCAGCCTGAAGAACAGTCCCTTCCTTGCTAAGTGTATAAAGCTTTACTGCATCTTGCAACATGCTGTTTCCGGGGCAAATGTTTGCACCTGAAAGAAAGGCAGATATATTTACAGATTAAACACTGTGTCAACCAAAACTGTTCAGAGCTGCCAGAGCTACATTTGGGGCTGACTGAAATGGGCAGTTCTGCCTTTAAAGCAGATTGTCCTTTTCAGGGGAGCCACTTGGACGGTTGCTGTGAAAGTCAGGCCCTTTGAACTTTCTGGAATATAATGAGTATGGTCTGTTTCAGGGGACCTAGAGTGGGTGCGCCCAAGAAAGGAGAGTGAGATTCTGAGTTCGGCCCCCAGCCTACTGAGAGTTGAGTCCTCAATGAGAATGTGCATCTAACCATACATTTATCCTGCATAAAACCAGAGGTTAAGTTGGATTGTTTCTGAATAGGCAATTTTTATTTTATACATTCCCATCCCATTTTCCGCCCATGTTAATAATGTGAAGAATGCGGGAGACATCTCAGCAGTGGAAAGATAGGGTTAAAAGAGAGTAGAAATCCCACTGTGGATAATCGCTAGCAACTGAGAGAGGAAGACATGTAAAAGACAGAAAGAGATATACAGCAGACCAGCACTTGATTTGGCTCTTTCCTCTTTTACTCAGCTCTCTGAGTGGAATTACCACATGTTATGATTGTAGATGAAAGTGCTAACCTTGTGTGCACTACTAGAAGATGGGTAACTACTCTGAATAAAGAGTACATACCTTTTTGAGCACAGAATCAGTCATGACTGCAAGAATTGTTGAGATCCATCAAATCTTACTGCCCCCAAAACTTCTTCAAAGATGATGAAAGTCTTTTCCTGGCATTTGGATAAGGATACACTATGCTTACTATTAGTATTCAGCCCACACAGCTGTCTAAATAAGCGGGCCATGGAAGGATTTTTAAAATGTATGTTTGGGACTGCCCTTATTAAAGAAGCTTTGAATTTCACATGATAGGTTTGTTTTGTCAAAAAGAAAAAAGAAATAAAACAGGGCATATCCATGGCTTAATTTTTTTTTCCTTTACATGTAGGACAAATAGTTCAGATACTGCAAAGCAAGAGTTAGCAGTTGCTTGCTATCATAATGTGGGCATCATCTGGTGATGAATGTTAAGGGCCAACTCTTAATATATTATTGTCTTTCTATAGAAAAGGAATCTTTACAAAGACGGTTGGTCTCCACAGACTTTGGAATGCCTTGAGTGATGATCCTGTCAATGCCTTTGTTGTTCTATGTAGCATTGAAATAAAATGGACCACTGAGAAGATTATTCTTAGGATCCCTCTCTAGTGCTCTGGAGAAAAGTTTTCTGTGATACACTGGGTAGTAAAACTATTTAATAGATAACTAGAAGGTAAATGCTAGCTTGCCATTAATTGATCAGATAGACATTCATGTCCATAATTTTGCTTTCCATTGCATCCTCAAGTAGCCACCCAAGAGAACTTTTTAGAATGATTAAAGAGTTATATATCCTATAAAACATGTTAGAGACCTCCAAAATCTGCTGTGACAGATCTGCAAAGGTACTTTGATGGTAAAAGTGTCATCCATCTTCATGCCACTTTTAACTTGGTTTTAATATTGAGGTATAAAGTTCATCTTGGCTTAATCGTAAGGAACCATTTTCAATATCTGAGGCAGAAGACATGGACAAAATGCTAATATGTATCCTCTTGAACCCTGCCAATCCTGATTTTTCCAAAAAGCCCAAAGAAGGATGACTAAGTGGATCCATAGAGTGGTGAACATGTCTTTGTGTGATCGAGTGATAACAGCCGGTTGCCTATCCTCTCCTAAATAAGCCCTCCCTAGCTCCAAGGATGCTGATACATATGTCCTTTGCTAAGGAAATATGCTTGAGAGGGTGATGTCTATGCTCCTTTTTTGTGTTCTTAAAAGCGATTGATTACACTGACTCTTTTAAACTGAGTTTAGGCATGGCTGGGGACAGAATCAGCCTAAGTGACCTTGGCAGATGATTTCCTGCAAAAGAAAGACAGAGGGAATGTGACTGATTGATCCTGCCTTGTTTTTCAGTATATAATTTTGATCTCATTGATCAGGATTATGCCTGTGAGCTGGGACGGCTGTATTATAGTGGTTCGTTTCCTATTTTTAGTGTTGATCTCAGAAACCAGCTAATGTATGTGCTGCCACGAGGCTTTATCTTGTCCAAAATAGTAACATTAACGTATTTTGAGACATTGAGTTATCAATATGCTATGGATACTCGATTCTATTTAGTTTCAAAAAGTTTTTCAGATTTTTTTTTTCAACTTTACCCACGCAAAGAATTTTATTAGCTTTCATTAAAGGAACCCCACTTTTTTCATGTATCCATCTGAGCTTGAAAAACAGGTGGAGTTGTTGTAAGAGTAGCATTAACTTTAATGAGTACATTCTTTAAAACAACAGTATCCTTTTATTTCAGGTTGAAAAAAGTCAGACTGCTTTAATACATAGCAAGGAAGTGATTCACTTATGCCAGATCCAAAGTACTTCTCCCAAAGCACATGGAGGCCTAATATAAACCATCTGAATAACAGACTGCATATTTTGAATTAGTATTGGGACAAAGAGATAAGAGGGTTGAAAGCCAACAGACAAGACAGAAACCATCCAGGAAAATTATCCCTGGAAGTGGAGAATCTTCCTTTCCTAAATTGGGTGTCACTTCTAGAATTCCTAGATAGGGAAAGACAGTGTCTGTTGTTCACCTCAAGTGTAGGTTACTGTAACTGTGTTTCATCCAAAAGCCATAGCTGATGCAAAATATGGTGGCCATAGGAAATTATGTTGTAATCCTAAGAGTGAGAAGGTAAAATACAAATATACTTGTAATTGCTGTTAGGAAGGTTGGAAGATACTTATTTATAATATTTCCTTTTTCTATTTCTTTCTTTGTACTTTTTGAAATTACTTATTACTTTTCTTTCCTTTTTTATTTCAAAATTTTGTTTCTTTTAAAAATGTCTTTAATAAAAATTACACATGCACAAAATATAATGGCCATGTCATTGAGCGAGACATGCAGATAGCCATTTATATTATACCTCTGTTGAAGCAATTGGACTGGCTGCCAATTATTTATTTACTGCAGGATCCAATCTAGTCGGCCACCAGAACCCAAAGATTTAGCCTTTCAAGCTTTTGGGCTCATGCTTGAGCCCATCATCAGGGAACTTCTCTCTCATTAGAATATGTGCACTGGGCTGTTCTACATGTTGTATTTATATGGTGCCTAGTTGTGTGTAGTTCTTAATTAGGGTATTGGGGGCTCGCTATTGAGTCATTATTTATTTATTAAATTTATTTTTATTTATATCCCACCTTTATTGTTTTTGGAAATAACTCAAAGTGGCGAACATGTTTAGCACACCTTCCTCTTCCTATTTTTCCCACAACAACAACCTTGTGAGGTGAGTTGGGCTGAGAGTGACCAGTCCAAGATTACTCAGCTGGCTTTCATAGCTAAAGAAGGACTTGAACTCACAGTCTCCTGCTTTCCTGCTTTTTGGTTTAGCTTTAACCACTAGACCAGGGGCCTGCGGCTGAATCTGGCCTGCGGGGTGCTTAGATCTGGCCCACAAGACGACTTGGAAACAATGAAGAACCGGCCTGCAGTCCCTCTGTCAGCAAAAATGGACTCCTGAGCTTCATTTCTGGCTGCAATGGCCTCCTACAACCCTCTGCCAGCGAAAACATGCAGCCCTCCCAAGCTCCATTTTCACTAGCAGAAGGTTGAAGGAGCCTGTCACAGCCAGAAATGGAGCTCGGTAGCCCATTTTCCCTGGCAGAGCACTAGAGCCATCACAGGCACTCCCAACATGAGTGACATCGAGCCAGCCATGCCCACCCTGCCTCCCTGAGGTCAAACACAACCCTGATGCGGCCCTCAATGAATTCGAGTTTGACACCCCTGCACTAGACCAGCCTGGCTCTCAATTAGCTCCCAATCCAGATTCAGTGTTTTAATTCTACATATAACATCCTAAGCAAAGTTTTTTCATGATAGATCGAGGCAAACCTACTTTACAATGTTCTACCTTGAACTGATTTCTGCATAATTTCCTTGCTAATTAATGTGATTTATATTGTTTCAATTTATTGTGCATGATTACATTTTTTTCTTCATTTGGAAACCACTTTTGAAGATAATTATGCAGAAAACTAAATACTGTAAAAGTACATTAATAATAATGTGATTGCAAATATTTATATCTGTTTGAGTTCAAATTATAGTAAGTGAAGCATTATTGCATTAAAATATGCTAGCTATGTTTACACATAACATTAGAATATAAACTTTCGTGCATAAGCCACAATGGCTATATTCACACATTGCCTTAAACAAAAACAAAAAAACCCCACACCCCCATTATGTTTTACCAATATCTGTAATTCCAGCAAAGACCCTGGGGACATGGGTATCTTTTAAACAACAATGCTTTCAATACCAGTTTCCCTAGAATAATTTCCATAAAATTCCCTGTTTAGTTGATTGGCAGTTTCCTGCTTCACCATGGAATTTTAGGAAAAGCGTGGGGGGATTTAAGTGTTCTTCACAATTTGCCCAGTTCAGTTTCAGATGATAGTACAGGTAGTACTTGCTTAATAACCATTCATTCATAAGCTGTTCAAAGTTACGATGGTGCTGAGCAAACAGTAGTTATCACCAGTCCTCGAAATTACAGTCATTGCAGTATGACCCTCCATGATTATATGACTAAAATTTGGGTGGCTTGGCAGTCCAGCCACATTTATGACCATGGCCTCAACTCTCCACCCCACACCTATCTACCCCACCATCTCTGCCATTTTGGCCACCCTGCAGTCTAGTGCGCCTGATGCCCTGTTGCCCTGTATTCCGCCACTCCTGCTGCTCCTGCGCTCCCTGCTGTTCCCCAGCTGACTTCTACCATCATCTTCTCACTACTATTGCTGAGGTGTGCCCAGCCTAGGCATCTGCTGGCCCTTCATGAGGCCTTCATAGCAGCCACATATATCCTCACCCATCTCTGCTAAATGCATTGCATGAGGTGATGAGGGCCCGAGTGATTGTGTGAAGGGCTCTCACAATCTAGGAAAGGAAACAAGCTGGGCAAAGGTCTTCCTGGCCATTGCTATCAACTGTTCCTCAAGCAGGAACTGTATGTCCAGAAAGATCCCCAAACTGTGCATCATCATTGAATGGGGATACGCTACCACATCCAAGGACAAAGGCAGAATATGTCCAGACCTGGATGATCCAAACTTGGTCTTGGAAGGATTGTGTCAGAGACAGTTCCTTCCCATCCAAACCTGCACAGATCATCCAAAACTGTCTCAGTGCTTAAACCTAAATGAAATGGCTCTAGATAATTCATTTCTTCCAAAATTCCCATCAGCTACAAATGAACCACCTTCTTAACATTTCCCACAAAGAAAATTGAAGTCTATAGTTAAAGAAAATTGTTGAATCCAAGGATGACCATTTGAAGGAAGGGGCATGCCACCCACTCCATGTAAGATGCCAACAGGGGTTACCTCTCTTTAACAACCCTGGACAAACCAGATCCAGTAAGCAGATAGCTAAGCTGATGCCATAGAGAGCCAGTCCACATCTTTAGGAGTCACCAGCTCAAACACATCTCAGATCACACTACCAGATCAAGCTCTAAGCACCTTGGCCTGCCCTGCCCAGACTGAGTCTAAGGTAAAACAAATTTGAGCAACTTTAGTCACCAGATATCCTGAGTAATCCTCACAGAAGCCCAGTAAATGTTCCAGGGGCCCTGCCCATCCAGCAGGAACTGGGTAATCCTAAACAAGGCTGCTGAACAGCTATCAGCATACACAGTAAGAGTGGAGAAATATTGATGTCTTACTGCCTTTGTCACTATAAAGTAGGCACTAATATTGGCTGTTATATGTGTCCAGTTAGATTCACTTCAAGTCTTCCCACAGCAGTATTCTAGGAATCCCTTCTGGTATTTCATCTTCGGGATTTTCCATTGGGAAAGCAGGGTGAACTCCATAATCATGTACAGCAGAGGTGGGGAACTATGGTTGCTTTATGACTTGTAGACTGCAATTCCTAGAATTCCAAAGCTGGCTCAGGAATTCTGGAAGCTTAAGTCCACATGTCCTAAAAGGGCCATAGTTCCCCATCCCTGATGTACAGGGAGTGGTTGCATAGGAATAACACAAACTAAGGCCCCAGCCACCTGCCCATTCCAAGCAGTGCCTGGGAGTTTAGCCAAGACACTCATCAGATCCTCAGAAAACCCCAAGCTCTCTCTAGAACCCCATTGGTCCATTGGCCCTTGGGATGAACCAATCAAATCGGCCCTGTCTTCCTGCAGAAAACAGTGACACCAGTGAGTCAAAAAGCAACCAGGAAATGATTTGTCCGTGGCAATGGACTAATGTCAATGACCACTATCTGATCAAATCTCAACTACCCTGGAAAAAAAACAATTCTAGCATATACATCTCTGGCATATACCTGGGCATCAATAACTTGGGACAAAGCCCACAGTTGCCCTGTAGGCCACAAATTTCTAAGCTGTCCCAGAATCAGTGCCATCAAAGAGCAACAGCCTTGGGGACTCTATTGCCAACCAAGATATTGCTAATTCATTATCTATTACCAAATAATACGAATTTAGCCTTCAGAATTCAGTAAAATCTTCCCCTTTTTAACTGCATCTAAGTAAGTTGGTAGGCTGCTACAAGTGGCTGCTAAAAATACAACAGTTTCATGCTGTAAGTGTTGATTTAGAAACTTCAAGCCTCTTTCAGAATTTCCTTCAGCAATTTTCTCTTTTTTTAGACTGTTATTGAAGGATGAATTAATTTTTCTCTGTTGTAAAGATTTTCTTAATGTACCTTCACAATTCTGAGAAGGACAAACCAGTTAAAGGGTTTTGCGTATAATATTTCAGTGAAATGATACCCTCACAGATATAATGGAACCTGGCAGAAAATTGAAGAAGAGTAAATCCTCTAACTCTTTGCTCATTAGTGTTTTTATGCTTGTAGGAGAAATATCACATCTTTCTTAAAGGAAAAAGGTTTAAAGAAAAAAGGTTTGATTTTGTCCAAATTAGGGAACTTATCTATAAAGGCTTTTTTTAAAAAAAACTTTGGTACACTATGGCATATGGTAAGGGAAGATGACCAGCAGGATCCAAGAAGTATAAAAGCAAAATCAATGAAGAGAGATGAGGTGAAAGGCTTTTTAAAAATCATTCTAAATAAACTCCTGCCAGCGATTTCTGATCTAAGACATAATTCATGTTCTACATATGCTCACAATGTCCACCTGGAACATGACAAGATAAAAGCTGCCTTGTTCTCCTATTGATTCAGTATTGGCTAGGAGCAATCCAGCCGGATTTCAGAAAGAAAGATTTCCCTGGTCTTTTGAACTGGATGTCCCATTGACGGATATACAAGGCATGGAAGCTTTTTCTGAAATCCAAGTGCCAGAATAAGATGTAATTCAGAACAAGCTAAATATGGCTAAATATAAGCACATACAGCTGACTGACATTTATTATTTGAAGCCAATTGAATGCCAGGAAATTAGAAGAAATGATTAAGTCATTATGATGAAATTATGGTCAGGCAGATATCCCCAGTGAGAATGATACTCATACATTTTTCTTTAAACACCTGCAATTAGAAGACATAGTGTGGACAGTGTAATTAGCTGATTAACCAGAGCACAAACCTCCGTTGTGAACTCTTCTGGACCTGAGGGCTAAAGGTGGTGTTCTAAAAAGTGGCCAGGAATGGTACCTAGAGATTTAAGGTATAAAATAGGTAGCTTAAATTCCAGTAAGGCTTAAGGTTCTAATTTTGCTTCTTAATTATTGCTTTCTCCAATCCTCCAATAGAAAAATGGGCCAATTTGTCTGGCCTCACCTATTCTTGGCATTCCTGCTCTGTCATGTTAGTTCCCAAGCCCACTAGTGAGACTACGCAACTTAGCATGACTAGCAGGCTAAACAACACCTCTTACAAGAATAGAGAGCTTTGATGCATGAGATAATAAGGATTTTCTTTTCTACTTGATCCTCCCATGCATTTGGGTTGCTTATGTCCCATATCAAACCTGAAGGATCTGCAGAAGCCACTTGAAGGATATGCAGACGCACTTACCCACTTGAGTTGCTCTGAAGCAGACAATTGCTGGCCAGTCATCTTGCTTTCAAGAAGGTCCATGCTGCTGCCCTGGAAATATCCCTTTGCACTCCAGTTCAACAAATAGGTTTGGAGCACAGCGCTGATAGGGAGTAAAACAAAACAAAATAAAAGCAAAGTGTGTCTATCTATGACTTCAGCTTTGCCCTGGATAATATTAACTTACTCACTTATTTGGCCAAAATCTGATTAGGTCTAGCAGTATCCATGAATGGAGCAGAAATCCATTGTGGCCTCTAACTGGACTCTCTGGGAATTCCCAAAAATCACTAGTTGAGCACTTATTTATATTTTTCTCAATGTACCTTCTTCTTTTCTCTATCTCTTTACCCAAAACTCTCAACCAAGCAGCTCTTTCCATAGACTGGGATGGAAGCACCCTTTTTATCCCCCTGGCAGCTCTATCACCAACTTCTCCCTCATCTTACCAGACAAAGACGACTTCTTTCATTTAGTGTTCCTGCAAAAGAAACAAGCACCCACAAAGTATTTATCTCTTCTATAAAATGAGAGTTTCCCCTCATTCCCCATACCTCATAATTCCTCATGAACAAATATACGCTCCTTGATTATTTATTTATTTACTTACAAATCAAAGCTATAGGCCATCCCACTCATAAAAAGGTATACAGTTAAAAACAATCCAAACCAGAAGAAAGTGTATCCAGGAATGAAAATACCACACGTATAAATACAAATTCCCCACAGTGGCACACTCTCCCTAACCTGAGGAAAAACTCAAGTCTTCAAAGCCAGGATTGGGGCAACTCAATTGTCCAGGTGTCGCTATTCCAGAGGACAGATGCCATGACAGAGAAGACATGCCATCCGTCTCTTTTCGGATGGCCTTGTTTTAAAGATGGGACCCCAGAGCATGCCACTGTTAGACTTTACTGGACGGTTCAGATACTATAGCTTCCAAATGTTGCTGAAATTCTTACCAGCAACTCTCCTCATCTATCAGCAGTAGTACATGTAAGGTAAATATGGTCTTCAAGAAACATCCACTCACACACACAAGCTCAAATCCTGCTCACATCAATTTCCTCCACTGTCCTGCCTCCAGCCTTGTGAGAAAAAAAGCCCCACCCCCACCCCCAAAAAACTGGGGTTTCCATTCTTTCTTCTGCTCCTTCCCATCTGAAATGAATGGACACCTCCTACTCTGGCCGAAATGCCATCACTCCTATCTGTTGTTCCTGTTCAAGAAACCTTGTCCTAGGCTACTCCTACTGTCGGTGTAGTATTTGGAGACCAGCAGTAAAGAAACAGGCCTCAGTTTATGCCAGAAGGGAGGCGAATAGGAATCCTGAATGGAGAAAGGATTAGAAGAGGTTGATCTTGCTCATCTCTTTGCTCTCCTGCGGGAGAAATCTGCTCCCAACATCACATGCAAAAAGAATCCTCCCCAAATAGCTTATGCTCTCATTGCTCTCTCTCTCTCTCTCTATAGTCCTGTACTTATCTCTGTCTCAGCATCTTTGGGAGAATGGACTGGATACTAACCTACACACAATCACCTGGATGATGGGAAAGCACTAGCAATCTACTACCCCAGATGCCTGCAAGTTGCTGTCTGGCCACAACTGACCCTCCCCTCTGCTCCCAGTTCCAGTTCATACCTTCCCTAGGTAGACTTCCAGCATACTGGATATCTCCTGCTTCTCTTCCACTGTAACTGATGCACAGATCCACTGCAGTGAAGGGTGAGAGGCAGCCAAGAGCTTGGGGAGAGTCTCAGCTTCTGGGTCCTAGATGCCTCCTGATTTCCATTTCAGTCTTTTAAATTTCTCCTGGTACGCTACAAGTGGTAGGGCAGGAAAAATGTCAGCCCTTAAAATAAAGACATGTTCAGGATGGCTTCCAGACTTCTCCAGCCCTAAAACATCAGGAATGAAGAGAATGTAGATTATAATACTAATGTGAAGTTTACCTCCATTTACCTTGTTCCAGGTTTCAGAATCATGCTTTGCCTTCTTCTTTGAAAAGACCAGCAGAACAAAAAGGTAAATACCTGAAAATAGCACGCTCTATAAAACCCAAGATTTTCCAGATGTGGGAACTAGTTGGAGCTTTTTTTTAAAAAAAAAACAACCAAGGCTCTGGGTTTTGTTTTTTACTGTTGCCTACCATGATGAGCAGGATTGGTTCCGACTTCCCTTTCTGCTCCACAGAGGGGCTCCAGCCTCCCATATCTCTGTATGAAATAAACATGCAATTGGTAGTCCCATCTAGGTTACAGCTGCTATTTCCTGGCAGCAGTTCACACAAGTACAGCCCTGCATCGAGCCAAACCAGGTCAATAGTTAACTGCCTTTAAGTGGCCACATTTCTTCCAGTCACGACTGGGCCATGCTGGCTGATAAAGCAAGCATCTGAAAAGCACTCTCTCTCCTCCTCCTCCTCCTCCTCCTCCTCCTCTCTCTCTCTCTCTCTCTCTCTCTCTCTCTCTCTCTCTCTCCCTCTCCCTCTCTCCCCCTCCCTCTTCCTCTCTCTCATTTTCCTTTTGTGTTGTAGGAAGTTAGCACCCACCCCTCTCCTAGAAAAATGAAATATCCTGGGAAATATTGAAAAGGCAGAATATTATATTTCCCTGGATAAGAAATGGAGAAACACGTTTTTAGGCAGGAAGCAGACTCACTCTTAATAGCTCCCATCTTTGTCAATTGGGCATTAAAAAAATCCTGGGCCAGTCTATTCTACATAACATCCCTTCAGCTTCAGGATGATGGGATTAAGGCATGATAGTATTAGCCCTTTACCCATCTCACCACAGGGCACCTGGGAAGAAGCAATGCTCAACCAAACCTGGACTCAAGATAGCCTACAGAATTGCCCCTGCATGGCTCCATGGGAGTCTGACGACCAATCAGAATAGATCAAGATCAAAAGCAAGAGAGAGGTCATAAAGCCAGGAACTTTCAGCATCTTGGTCTCTTTTCTTCTTCACCCAACATCTGGAAGCATGTGATCCCTCTTTTCTGTTCAGGAGCTCAAGCCATATGATCCTGTCCACCGTTAAACCATCTTTCCAAGCAGCCTCTATGTTTCCAGTGTCTTTTCCCCCACTTGGAACTGAACCCAGGATGACATTTCTTCCAACAGTGTATTTCTTTCACAGTGAGATATGGCAACATCTTCAATCATCTAGTGGACTGTATGGAGTCTCTGGGCTGCAAAAGCCACCTGCTTCCAGTTCAGCTGGCTTCTATAATCTCTGTCAATTCTCTTGCCTTTTGGAAAAGCCATACCCACCCCCCATGCCTCCCTCTCCCCATACTGCACAACGTAAAGCAATCTTTATAAACGTAAAGCTCTCCCCCATGTCTTGGATTAGGATATTTGGGTGGGCCCGTTAAGTTGGGGAATGATGGCAGTTGTTTTTATATAATGCTTTTTAACTTTGGGAGGCTGCTCAGAGTTTACTTATTTATTTATTTGTCAATAAGTACAGGGAAACAAGTATGAAAAAACACATGGAAAAATGGCACAAATAAATGGATAAAGTAAGCAAAACATAGCCATTAACACATAAAAAGAGAACATATAAATGGAACAGTAGGACAGGGATGGTGGGCACGCTGGTGCGCTTATGCACGTCCGCCTTAGGGACCTCTTAAGAAATGCGTAAGGTCCACGGTAGATAGCTTAAGGTAAAAGGTATGGGGTTTAGAGGAACTAACAACAGGATCAGGTAGGGTATTTCACACATTTACTATTCTATCGCTGAAATCATTTTTCCTGCAATCAAGATTTGAACGGATTACATTTAGTTTGTATCTATTGATAGTCCTTGTGTTATTGCAGTTGAAGTGAAAGTAGGACATTGTGGCAGATTATCTTGTGAGTTGTTTCGGATAATCTAGAAGGACAATAAATAAATAAATCATAGAATCCTAGACATCTGAAGGGCCAGCTTGAAGAAATTGGTTCTTTTCAGGGCTGGCCTCAGTTGCATCTAGAATAAAAGTTAAACAAAAATGAAATGACAGTTGACTGCTTTTATTTCAGTTGAAAGCAGAGAAATTGCTCAGATATACTAGAAATTACAGGGTTTTTTAGGTCATACTATGGTATCATCAGATTAATTCAATCCAAATATTAATCATTAACTTATTTAAAGAGTAATATTATTCTATCAATGGCTGTTTTTTATCCCATGCAGGTTAATAACATTGATTGCAGTAATTTGTAATCATTTGCACAGAGCAGTTGGTTGTTCAGATATACAACTAAACATATATTTTTAGGACAGGTTTGTTTCCTGACTCATACTAGAATCAATGCTCATAAAATTTTCAATTTTGGAAATGTAAAGCAATATGGTCTCCTTCCTTGACAGCACAAGACACCAACCACCTCGTAATACAGAGTCTACATATCAGCTAAGAGACAAGATAATGGTGGGTCATGAAAAAAGTGCAGGGTGCAACGCATATTATTATTATTATTTTTATAGCAGACCTGGGAGCCTGTAGGGGAGGGCAAATGATCTAATTTGCATTATTTGCATCATATGACTGACACAAATCACATCCTTCTCATCATTGCCCACACTTTAACATTCTTTCACAAAGCCCTGAACCCCTGGTTTTGCCAACTGGTTATTTGCATCATATGACTGACACAAATCGCATCCTTCTCATCGTTGCCCACACTTTAACATTCTTTCACAAAGCCCTGAACCCCTGGTTTTGCCAACTGGTTATTTGCATCATATGACTGACACAAATCGCATCCTTCTCATCGTTGCCCACACTTTAACATTCTTTCACAAAGCCCTGAACCCCTGGTTTTGCCAACGGGCCTGGAGAACCTCCAGTAGGAGTGGAGTGAAGCCCATCAAGTAGCTTATTTAATTGACTAATTGTTGTCACCCAGAGGATGAGATGGGGTTCAGAGGTGGTATTCAGTCAGTTCTGACCGGTTCTGGAGAACCGGTAGCAGAAATTTTGAGTAGTTTGGAGAACCTGCAAATACCACCTCTGGCTGGCCCCGCCCCCATTTATTTGCTGCCTCCCGAGTCCCAGCTGATTGGCTGGGTTTTCTTTTGTTGCCCTGCACAGGAGAATGGAGCTGAAAAGAAGAATGGTGGGGTGGGGAGGAAATGGGGATTTTTAAGTATTCTTCCCCAGGAGTGGGGTGGAAATGGAGATTTTGCAGTATCCTTCCCCCAGGAGTGAAGAGGGAATGGGGATTTTGCAGTTATCCTTCCCCTGCCACGCCCACTAAGCCACGTCCACAGAACTAGTAGTAAAAAATATTTGAATCCCACCACTGGTAGGGTTATTGTTTTCTATTGTCTTTGGGTTTTTATCTCTGTAAGCCATCCAAAATCATTGAGAGTCAGTTGGGTAGCCATATGAATTTTCTTAAATACATAAATTGTAATTATGTCATGTCACAACAAAAACTCACCCTGCATATGTTGAGAAGGATGTGATGTGTGGTTTCTCGAGGACCTCCTGGTTAGCAGACTTTCACATAGACACTTAGAAGCAGAAGGTAGAAGGAACAGAACAATCGCTGGGGTCATCAAGATTTGGTTTTCTACTGCAAGACTTGTATCTTAAAATATACAATGTAAGATGAGAGTAGCTCTGAATGCTTGAAAAATAATTGCACTTGTGTATCTTAAAAGCATCACTTGACCTAACAAAGCAAGTAGTGCAATATATAGATAGATTTTGACCTCAGAAACACTAATTTTAGAATGAAATGTACAGCAGTATGAGCTTAGCCTGTTTATCTACAGGTAAGGGCTTAATTGGATAAATGTTTAATAAGCATGCATAGGATTACAGTGA